CGTTTTGTGGTAATGGAAAGTTTCCTACTGCGAAAATAAGCCTAATCGTTTGCCAACTGAAGAACTTTAAATATTATAATTTATGCTTGCCGTTTGTCATGGTTTGTGTTGCTACGAGTGTTATGAAACCTGTGAGCGACGAAAGAGTTGCGATGTATTTGTCGGTAATAATGTTTTGTTGATTTTAAACATAAAAATGGCAATATCCTGTAACCTCGTTTTAATTAAGCTAGTTTCACCCACAAGTGCAAGTATATCACTGTTCGTAGAGGAATGAGCTAAGAAGACGTTTCCAAGGCATATTTGATTTGGTCGTGATTAAAAGTAAAACAAAGAAAAAGAACTTTCGTTATATCTTAGTACTCATTTAATAAGCAAATTACTTCAGATTATCACTGCTTTGGTTCGCTCAGTACAACTCGTGAATCGTGCGCACTCATTAATTATAAAGTAAGGTATGTAGTTTCATTGCAAGAACTTTTACCAAGTAATCAGTCTGGTGCCCAGTTAAGGTATGAACCTGACTGTTAAATGTAAAGGCATTGTGTGACAGAAGAATAGAATGCATGATGATAACTTACCGACAAGGACTCCAATAACCAAGGTGTTGGCAACAAAGACCAAGCCATTGAACACCAGAGTATCCACGATTGGGTCGACTGATGTCGAAAAACCTTCACTCGGGATTGTGCTCACGGCTCCTATTGCAAGGTTTACGAACGTAACGGCAAGTGAAGACAGCATAAGGTTGTTTTCGAATCGATCTTTTATGGGCTTTTTTAGCCCAAAATACATCCCGTACAATCCAGATAAAAGCAATGCTAGTGCAATGTAAGCTCTGCTCTCGCCACCAAGAAGGATCAGTCCAGATGTCAAAATAACCTTTCGAACTGTCTCCACTAGTTCCCAATACCAACAACGGGGGTCGTAGTTCTCGTGTAAGAAGCGCAGTCCTGATTGTTCGGTGCCTTGGTCTTCAAAATCATTTGTGTCGTTTTTTGTTCCTTCCTCAACGAGGCAACTACAACGAGAGTTGTAGGTTTCGTCTAAGAAGCGCAGTGCCGATTGTTCGGTGCCTTGGTCTTCAAAATCATTTGTGTCGTTTTTTGTTTTTTCCTCACGGAGACAACCACAACGAGAGTTGTAGGTTTCGTCTAAGAAGCGCAGTCCTGATTGTTCGGTGCCTTGGTCTTCAAAATCATTTGTGTCGTTTTTTGTTTTTTCCTCACGGAGACAACTACAACGAGAGTTGTAGGTTTCGTCTAAGAAGCGCAGTCCTG